TGGTGGGGAAAAAAAGTTTCACTAGTACAGTGGTACTTTTAGGTGGTAGTAGTGGGAACTGTAGCTGCATACTAACTTTTACACTTATTTGTTTCGCTACACTTTTAAATCTCGTAATTATTTTTTTTTAGTATCGACCAGAATCTCATAATATAAACGTATACCTAAATTTAATTTATCTAGGTACGACGTGTGAAAACTTATGTACTCCCGGACACATTATTCGAAACACTTAAACAATGCTTGATTGATCAAGAACTAATGCAACTTTGAAACTGGTTACTGAAGGTCATTTCCTTAAGTCCTTATTGAAAATTTGAATTTAAGAAACCGGAGAAACCTTTATATTCAATGCTAACTATATATTTTATTCTAGCCCTTTAAGGATGAAAATTCAAGGTGGCTCGAATTGTGTTTCCGGGAGTGTATTTATCGGGGGATTAAAATAAACATAAAAAATATTGTTTAAATCAACCTTTGTATTCATTTTTAATTAGTTTTTTACACTTGTAACGTTTACTATTGCAGTACATAAGATTACTGTTTCTGAAAATAATCAACGCTTAGAATGTTTGAAAAAACAATTACTTAAATCTACCTCTAGACATCTAGTACGAATAGAACAGGTACAAAGACAGAAAAGTAATTCAATTTAATTGTTCCCAAATATTGTATTGTAATCTAGTAAATAAATAATAATTAAAAAGGAAACTACTTCATTAAAGTAGAACAAATTTTGGCCATGGTGGCATGAGTAATTTCTACCAACATTCATTCATTACCGTACAACACGCCCCGTTTTGGCACCAGCTCACCCCGATAGCGTATAAAGAAAAGCTACTCCAGTACAACCCTACAGGCACAAACGATTTAACCAGCCTTTCCAAACCGGAACGACAACATACACACACCTGCACATTTAGCGGAAAAATATTAAAATCACCAAATCACCAAGCCTGCTGGTATGACTGTCGGTCCATGGAAGCTAGGGAGACAGTTAGTGTGGGCCTCAACCTGTGTGGACACTGTGGCCATGTCCTTACAAACGTGGGCGGCGCAAGTTCTGTCGCCAGAGCGACCGAGAAACGCAGAAGCTATTACACCTTCGTGGCTTTTGCGGTTGAAACTCTAGGTCCCTTTGGGCAACAGGTGAAACTTCCAGCAAACGAGCTGTCGGACCGCCTCGCAGAAGCCTCCAGTGGCCACAACCCTGGCGGCTATATCCGCCGAAGAATAAGTTTAGCTATTCAAAGGTGAAATGTTGCCAGCCTTCTGGGCACGATGCCCCAGGGTACGACACTCGAGAAAATTGTCTATTTATGAACTTTTTTAAATTTTTTTCTAACCTACCTGTTATACTTTAGTTATTATATTACTTTGTGTTCAGTAAAAAAGCAATTAATTGAAACAATTAATTGCAATTAATTGAACCTATTAATTGAAATAATACTTATATTAATTTATATGTTCTAGGTTGAATATGAAAATAAAAAATTTGTCAACTGTAATTTTTTTCATTCATTCGTTTTAATTTCCTAAGTTGCTTTTATCGAGTGGTTGGAAGCTGAGTTTGCGTTCTTGTTAATTTATTATAAATTTTCATCTGTTTCTACTTTGTCGCAAAATCTAAAAAATACACTTTGTTTAATTTCGTTTTTTTTTAAGGTCGAGTAAGGCTGTACTAAATCGATATTGATAGATGTTGATTTAATTGCTACTTTATGTATAATTCTTATTTATTTAAATATAAACGTTATTATTTTGGAATCTCACTTTCGTCGTTCCGCTAAATGTGGGGCGTATGTCCTTCTCAAACGTTGACGTTATAGTTATTTAAAATACAAACTGACATCTTTTAATCCTTTATAATTACAAACACGACATGATGAAAAGTTCCCGGACATACAGTGTAGCGTATAGAGGTATTACGCATACAGCTGAATATAGAGCTTGCTTGTATAAAGTTTCTGTAAGAAATGGCAAACAACAATTAAGATGCTTTTTTCTTAAATTTTTCGCATGCGTATTGTTGACTCTCCAAGGACTGAGAGCTCTTAGTCCAAAGGTAGATGTTATTAGTATTCAACCATCTATATCCGTGAAACCGTGATTCTCTAAATTGAAATTTAACAGAATGGCAACAAGCATATGACTCGTATGATATTCGTTCCCAATCCGAGACTATACAAATCTAGAAAAATCGGACCCATTTCGAATGTCGCTTGTGCACTAAGTTCAATTCTAATCCGAGAAAATACTAATAGATACGCTTGTACACGTAGAGATAAAATGGTCCGTGTGACTTTTGGGGCCGTCATTTCTCGGATTGATACGGATCGGAAATGCTGCGCTAACGCTCTGATAGTTGACGATTTGGGAGTGCGGCGAATTTGGGGATTTGAATCACAGTTTTCCAAATTGTCCTAAAATTGATCGTTCCTATCTTATCCTATCCAATGTGCCCCTTCCCACTTCCATGAATATTTTGTTACTGTCCTATAACTCTTCTATACATACCCTTATCTATCTACATAGATTTATTTTAGAAACTAAATAAAAATTTTACTGTTGTCCTATATCTGAACGTATAGGTACTAATTGTTTATTTATATCTCATAATTCCTCGCCTAATCCCTTTTTTCACTCTTTCTCCACCTTCCTAATCCCATTTGCATTATTAAGCTATAAATTATAATATGTAACCCAGTTGAAGTGCCCCGTTAAAGTGGACAATTCTCCATTCTCATACAAATACAAGGTGACAGAAATGAACACAAATTAGGAGAAACACGTTAGGAAATACGTATATTTCACGGCACACATCATTGACAATCAATATATCAAAAATTATCAAAAGTAATCCAAAACAGCAACGAAAAAGTACATAAAAAACAGAGTTGCCAGACTTTCGCGAAATTAATTCGCCAATTTATGGGTGCTAAGTAGCCGATATTCGCCCAAGCCATAAAATCCGTAATAATCCAGTAAAGCAATTTTGTTTGCTGCGGGAAATTGGGGAACATGAATTCTTTTATTCCCAAGTTTGAAATTCCCCAGATATTTTATTAAGTAGCCTAAAATAGCCTTTTCCTTTTTCAAAAACAGCCTAATTATCACTGAGTCGCCGATCACTTTTTTCATCGCTGCGCGACCCCTCGAAGTAAATGGCGATAAATCGCCTAATCTGGCACCAGTGATAAAAAGCAAAAACAAGTTAGTGGCTGAAACGCTAACCGCAAAACGAGAAAAAAAACATGTTCACTATTGCATCAGAGTGCCGAACGAATATACATCCTTCAATTAATTGTCTACGTCCTAGCCATTGATCAGAAAGCGCTCCGCCAGCTCTATCCATAAATGAGAAAAATGATGTAATATTTTAATAAAGCACTTTTATTAAAATTTATCTAAAACAAATAACGTGAAAATCACAACTTGACGGGAGTGAGAATTAATTTACGAGAAGACAATATTTTTATTTGAAGATGACTCTCAATGTAACACCAGGCAACCAGTAATGTAAAAGATTGAACATCCTTGCTCTGACATGATCATCTGCTGGAAATATACTTAGAACAAACATAAATGTACAATTGTCCCACAACTATGCCACACGGAAGAAGATTACCTTATACACCGTAGAAAGAAAATTTTACTGAAAGAAGCATTGACCTTATGGAAAGAAGAGTCCATTTTGATGTTAAAAACAATTCAAAATGCATTCAAAGATTTTGAAATAATCGCCTGTCCGAACCGGGTATCGAACCCGCGAAATGTGAATAAAAAACACCTGTAGTTTTACTATACTGCTCGAAAGCTTCAATCATAAGGATTGTTTTCTTCTAAATAACATAGCATCTTAAATAAAAAGAAAACAATGTAGTTTAACATTTAATTAAGTAAACTACAACTTACGATGAATTTAAGTTATCAAATTCTCAAAATGGTACCCATTCTGTAGTAAACAAATTGTCACTCTTTTGATATTTTCGCTTTCTGTTGATTTATTTATCTTTTCATGGTGAATGTTTAAAATAATACGTCTACGTTCAATTTGTAACTCCTGCATTCTCATATTGGTCCCCATAAACTAAATCTTTTTCAGACTTATTTTCCTGAACAAATTTTCAGATTCAATATTCAATTTCATGGTCTTCCCCTTATTTAAGATACTATGTTATTTAGAAGAAAACAATACTTATGATTGAAGCTTTCCATCAGTTTATTAAAATTACCGGTGTTTGTTTTTTTACATTATTTATATTTTTTATTATTATGTATATTATAATTATTAAAAAATCTTTGATTGCTTCGAATTGTTTTCAAAACCAAAATGAAGTGTTCTTTCAGTAAAATTTTGTATATATGGTATTTAAGTTAGTTAATTTATAACAGCCGCTTCTCGCCTTTTCCATCAAAACAAGGAAATAGGTATTCGTAATATGGAGAAGCTGTTTGATGGAACCTTTGCCCTACCCAAATAAATGAGAGCATCTAATAGTCTGTGTAAATGTGTGAAAAATTATTTAAAAAAAAACATATTTTTATATCGAATAGCACCTTCGCTTTCGCTAGTGCTTGGGCCGTTATATCACAACACTGCTTAAATATTAACGTCGGCACAATTTGTCTAATTACAGATTCACACTGATCGAGTATATATTTCTGATTATATACCCGATGACACAGATTAACTTGGTGACATTGTATTAAAAAATAGAACACTAAAATGTAACTTACTTTTTTTGTTTTTGTAACATTAAACATATTTTGATATTTTATTGGATTCGACAAATTGAATGCATCCTAAAATGCCGTCACGTTGGCGATACTGTGAAATGTCAAATTATCTGCCAATAAAATTGCCGGTGGAAAAGGATCGACGTATCTTATTCGTCATGTGCTTGACAGAGACGAATAGAGATCGCTCTGCGCATGTTTCGAACTCTCAGTATCGAATAGTTGTCTCGTCATGGTTTCTTCTCGAGTACTCGATAGCCCGATAGAGGTCACTCGTAATTCTCTCGTACTCGCTCGCTTGTTTCGCCATTTTGTCGTGTTGATTGCTATATTGATTCAAAGAAGCTTATGATTCCGATTCGATACGTGATTATTCGTGTCGATTCATTTAATTTAACGTCCTTGATCTGTAATCATCAATAAACTACCGCTAACAACACTTCAACATGAAGAAAGTGTCTTCAGTTGTGTGGCAGTTTTTCGATCGATTGGAAGAAAATAAGAGATGTGTGGCTGTTTTGTGTAAACTGTGTGATACGGAATACAAATACTTTGGGAATACCACAAACCTAAGAGGACATCTTATTAAAAAGCACCCCATACAGTGGGAGTTGAGGCAAACTAATTGGGATGGCCAAAAAACTTTGGAAGACGCAACTATACACGCTACATTTGACGATGACGAAAGCACGAATCATTCCACGGTGTCGCCAAAGCGCAGGAAATATTCAAGACCAAGAGATAAAAATGTACGTTATTCACTGTCAGTAAAAAATATCAACGGTAGTGGAACAACAGAAGGAGATAATTTACCTAAAATTGAAATACAAAGGGTACATAAACCAATTATGACTAGGTTATTTTAATTTGCATTTGTTATTATTATTGAAATCGTAGCATCGTCATCGCTATAATCGATTTCAACCGCGTTTTAAAGAACGATGTGATCATTCTATAGTGTTGTAGTAGTCAGTATTATACATTTAATTGAATCGATAAATAACTCGATTCTGAGGCTAATTATTTATTTGCGTTTTAAACAATTATTTAATTTCACAGATTGTGTAGGTTTATTATATCTCTAGTACGTACTTGATAACTTTGCATCTAAGATTGAATTTAAGTGTACATACCTACTTAAGTATCTTTTATATATGTTGTCTTTGAAACTTATTTTCCAGTTAATTTAGGGTGTATTTGATCTTGCAGGTTGATGTCCTTGAAACTTCCGAAACTGAAGACCATGATAGAGAAGACAATGAGGCAACCCTTAACTTGGTACGTCAAATGCATGACACCCATGGATCCGATGAAGAATGGTTAGAAGACGAATATAATAATCCAGCTGAGATGTATGAACCTAAACGCAAGAAAGCAATATATCGGAAAATTAAGAGAGAAGTTGTAACTCCACCACGTCGCTCGTCCAACTATTATGCACTCACCAGTGCTAAGGCTGAAAAGCAGCACCTCATCATTAATGACTCAAGGAAAGACGAATACTCCGTCTTCGGGGAATACATTGCAAATAAACTGAGAAAGTTCAAGGCTCCGCGAACTAGAGGCAACATTCAACAGTTAATCACGACCATTCTGTGGCAAGCTGAATATGGGCTTTACGATGACGCTGATGCTGTAAAACGAGTACTAATGTCTTCTGTCCAAGATATAGAACCAGAGCAAACTATCGTCATGCAATCCCATGACACTGTGACTGCAATGCCAACTGAACAATTTGGCAATGATAAAAAACATGATAACAATGAAGGTGTGGAGTCTGACAACGTACTTTAACAAACAATGAACTTTGAATCTATTGTCATTGTCGAGAAACTAATAAATGAATCATTGACTCTAATTTTTTGTCCTGCAAACCCAACATTATTTGCCGTGTGGATCCCTTTAATCTTTTAAGCGATCGCCCAGCCATTAGCAAATGCGAATATCAAATAAGTGTCTAAACCATAGACAAAGCTCATGCGAATATGCAAATATAGATATATTAGGTTAAATATAATTTATATTGCAGCGGAACAAAATGAAAGCGAATATTCGTAATGTAGTGCATAGCATATTGAACTTGATGAATGAATTAGTTCTCTAAGCTATGTACATACAATAACGAAAAATTCGCTTCCATTCCGTCCCGCCGCAACGTAAATTGAGCCTTACTGGATAATTGAAATTTAATCAGGTAAATAAAAAAGTACTGTAGTATGTTCTAGTCTCAAAACGTTGAGTCGAGTGGCAGACACTGGCTTAATTTGAGAATTTATTTTTTTTACAAACGAAGTTAAAACACGTTTCGCACTTGACAACTAACATAGTATTATCTCAAAAGTTACGTTATATTTTATCTCAAAATTGCGTTATGTTAATAATTTATCTCCAAAATTTCGCTATATTGATGTGTCATTCATATACGATTTCATTTCAAATTTAATATCAAGTGCGATTTGAAAAATGTATGTCATTTAGTCATTGACTTACAAATAAATGGACGACGGGTCTAATACAAAAACCACGAAAAAAATGTCCCAAGTCAACCTATTCGAAATTTAAATTGTTATGTCATCGCAGTATCACGCTGTCCGTAGAACAAATGAAGACTAAAGCGGAGTGTCGCGCTCTGTATACGATTTTAGCGCTTTACAAGTGCGGACACTTTTTAGCGCGGACCCGACGTCC